CCACCAGGGGGCAGATGCTCAACGCACAGGCATGGAAACATGAAACAGACTGATGAATCTCAGAGGGAAATGGGGAGGGTGGAAGAGGTTAACCAAAGATCTTATATGTATACTATAGGCCCAGTACACAGAATTGTGCACTGGTGGGGTCCCTCGGCCTGGCCTGCAGGGATTGGGCTGAAACCGGCAGTCAGACATCCCCCGAGGGGTCCCGGATTACAAGAGGGCACAGGCCAGGCCAAGGGACCTCACCAGTGCACAAATCCATGCACCAGGCCACTAGTTACAATATAAACATGTAAGGAGTGTTTATCGTTGTATACATTACATTATTGAAGTATATTTCTGACAGAAGAGAGAACTTCCATTTTGATGAGGAGTTGATGAGCACCAAATTCTCCAATTACACTACACAAGATTCAAAGAATTCTTCACAGAACAGTGTCTGGATACACCTCCCCCCTAGATACAGGGGTAGGCCTGCACTTTTGTGTCACTTTGCTGAGTTGATACAGTGAGTGGGAGGGGAATTTCATCAAGTCATCTACACTGGGAGAGCTAGCAATAACTTAACTATGCATACAAGTGGCTGAAAAACACATTAATATATCCCACTAAACCAAATTAAATGTATCTCCAAATTTACATCCTCTTAGCAGAATCCCAAAAGGTTCATAGCTATGAACCAAGGGAACCTGGCTCCAGGGAAAGTTGGGAAGGAAAACGACAGTTCTCTTGATTGATTGTGGTTAAAATACCATTTTGAAAACTTTGTGAAAATGTATAATCATGTGAACACAAAGATGGAGACCCTCCCATGTCCGTAAGATGGGCCTCGTTAGTGAGGGGCCTTTGCAGCTCAAGCTTCATAAGTTTCATGGTCCTTGTGCCCCTGCGCACTAGCCTTTGTGCCCTCCCTGTGCAAAGACGGAGACAATCAGCAAGGTCATTATTCAATGTGAAGGACTGGGATTGATCGAGTGGTCTGATAGAAAGAATATCAATTTTGTAGGGCTGCCATAACAAAGCACCACACACTAAATGCCGTAAAACAACAGAAATGTATTGTCTCACAGTTCTGGAGGCTGGAAGTTGGAAATCAAGGTGTCAGCAAGACCATGTTCTCTCCAATGACTCTAGGTAAGAATGCTTCCCAGCCTCTTCCGGCTTCTGGGGGGGGTTCCCCAAAATCCTTGGCTTGCTTGGCTTATAGAGGCCTCACTCCAACCTCTGCCTCTGATATTGCCTGACCTGTGTGTGTCTGTCTCTGTGTCTTTTCTCCTCCATAAGAACACCAGTCATACTGGATTAAGGGCGCACCTAATCCAGCGTGAGGTGTAAGTGAAGTACAGTCATCAGCACGTATCAAACTGTAAACTGAATCAGATTTGACACATGTGTATACCCTTGTCCCACTTTAATTTTCTTCTTGGCATTTATTACTATCTGGTTTCTTTGTTTGTAATTTGTCTCCACCACTGGACTATAAGTTCCATTAGAATAGAAATACTATACCTTTTGGGCTTAGAATAGTAACTTATCGACAGGAAGTACTTAGTGAGTAGTTGTTGGATGGATGGATGGATGAATGGATGGAAGGAGGGAGCGGAGGCCAGTTGTAATAATAGGAATACAGTGTCAGGGACAGACTAAGCAGAATGGCTGACTTTATGTGGGAGCTGGAGTCCTAAGTGGCTCTCTTTATGGTATTTTACATCCGGATTAGTCCAAGAGCAGGGAAGCCGAATGAGTTTTCTCCTGCATGCCAATCCCAGGCCATTGGGTAGAGCTGCCTGGAACCCTCTGAGGAGGCCTCTCCAGCTGCAATGTTCTGGGCCTAGTAGAAATGAAGGAGGTGATCCATTGGGGATGTCGATCTCGGGTAGAAAAGTGGGAGTAGTGGCAGGCATATTCGCTGTCCCTTTCCTAGAAAATACTGTGGAGCTGAACCTGCTGGTGGGAGTTAAATTATCTCAGCTGTGCAAGGAAGCAAGCCACAAAGGCTGGGAGAAGGCAGGACCTGACAGTAACATTTCTGAAATGCCATTTACCGCCTGTGCTGGCGGTGATTACACTAAGGCTGACAGTTCTGTGATTAAATGCACCGAGCTTCGTCTGAATGGGCTGCGGGCTCCTGGCTTTTCTTCCTGTTGATTTTCAATGGGTAATAATAACACTCTGATAACTTCTACATAGGAACAGGACTCAGGCGCCAGAGGACTTTCATGCCCTTCACCGGGCTTGTGTTCCCGTGACAATGGCCACACTCACTAAATTAGGGCTTGTGCTGGCCCCCTTTTCATTCCTCAAGGATGATTTCCTTTTCAACAGATGGCTTTGAAGCAAAGCACCTGGCGTCTGATGAGGCCTCATCTGACAGTAATTGGAGGGAAAGCCCGCGCCTTCGAGCTGTGACGCCTGCTGCAATTCAGCCTTGTTACAGCAAGCCGCAAGGCTAAGGGGTCTGCCATTAACAGCAAGTGTCTCTTCCAAAATCATTTTCTATTTGTCTCTTTCTCTACTAGAAAGAAGAGAGCCACCTTCCTGCAGCCATATTTAAAGCCTGGATGTGGCCTAATATTCTATAAAATCTTGGGATTTGAGTAGCTCAGAAGCTGAATCGACACAATTATAAATAAGGTGTTTAACTTCTCAAGGCTTTCTTTCAAAGTCTGACAGTCTTTCCAACTGGATTTCACTGGTCTTTGCAACCCTTTCATGTATGCAGTGACCAGGTTTGGGGATTCTGTCACCCTTGGTATTGCCATGACGACACCCAGACCCACACTGGTGTGTGTGTAGTGTGTGTGCACGCGCGCGCGCGTGTGTGTGTGTGTGGGTGTGTACTTATCTACATCCATATCCACTTTTACGCCTTTTTACTATCTTTCAATACATATCTATTATATTTTCCATAAAGTTTTTTGGATTTATTACTAGTTACCTCTTATTTTGGGGTGCTATTATGATCTTTAATCTCATTTTATAAATGTATTGCTGATCAATATGAATTCAATTGCTTTGTTGCTGTTTTGGTTCTCACTTTTGCTGATTGTTTATCCAGCCACTTTGCTAAACTTTCTTAATTGTAATAATTTATCTGTTGATTCCTTTGGATTGCCTATGTAGACTATTATATTCGATTAGTATCACTTTTAAGGTCCTTTTATTTCTATCCTACTTCCTCACCTTACTGAACCAATTAGGACTGCTATTACAAAATGAAATAGAAGTGGAGGTGGTAAGCCCTCTAGTTTTATTTCTGATATTAAAGGAAATATTTTCAATACTTCATTATTTATAATACTTGCTGTTGGAGTGCTTTCAGATTTTTTTTTGAAATGTATTTCTTCCTATTGAGAAATCTAATGTTCAACCATATCTAATATATTATTAAACACATACAACTTGTATGTTAATTTCAATTTTTATATTTATCATTTTCAGTTCTAGTTTGTTCTGTTTCAAAGTTACTTGCCTGTTATTGCTAGTGCTCAGGTTTTCGAGCTTTGCTTATATCAATTATAGTCAGGAATTTCTAGAATATCTATAGGTCTGTTTCTGAAGTCTGTTTTTATCTGGTGGTGCCTCATATCCTTCTGATTCTTTTACTATCAGACACTCATTTTTCTTCGCAATTTGTCTCTGGGATCGTTTGAGGCCTGGGAAGATGGATGGGTTCCTCCAGAGATGATTAAGTTAGCTTCTACTAATGCTCCTGGTTGCACTATCATTTTCAGTCTAACTTTAAATGAAATGCTTGGTTCAGTGTTCTTTAAATTAAATTCTTTGTTCAGTTGCAATCCTATATTAACTCAGGCTTCCAATTAGCATGTGAGGTTGAGCTCATGACTAAAAATTCTGAGAGAACTTGTTTTTTCCTCTGATTAGCGCCAAGTTTTGAGACAATAATTTCTTCCACAGTCTCGAATAAGAGGAAGAGACTAGTCCTTCAGTTCCCCCACCTTATCACCCTGAGCTTTCTCCTGTCTCTTTTTCCTATAAGTTCATGAAGAAAACACAATACAAATATTTAAGTTCACCAGGATCAGCAGCTCTCCACAAAATGTCATAAACCCTCCCGGTTTTTTCAGTAAGTTAAACCATGTCCTCCCCATGCTCCTACAAGTTACTGTGCTGTATACCTTAAGAGGTGAGAGTGTCTGACCTTGTCTTTTTAGTTAGTAATTTGACTCAGAGTCAAAGATAGTATACTCATTTCAATATTTAAACCACCACTCTAGGGCTTTATCACTAAATAGAAAGGAATAGGCCCTTATGACAGTTGGGACTGGGGAGACTATTGTGTGATACTGGCAATATGCTTGGCAATGTCATCGAAGAGAAAATACTGACTTCTGCGCATGGGCCACGAAGTTTCAACCGCACTGAACGTGTGCTCCCGCACGTGGTATTTTGTGGAAGAGCCACACTCAAGGGGCCAAAGAGCCGCATGTGGCTCACGAGCCACAGTTTGCCAACCACGGGCCTAGACCTTAGCTTTCTGAAGTGAAGCCTCTTTATTTTACAAATGAGGAAATTAATGATCAGAGATGCAATGTCATATAATAGGTCATGCAGCTAATAGATGTCAGAGTCGGGGCCAGACATAATCTAACTTAGCTTTCATTCCTCTTAAACCAGTGTCTCCCAAACTATATTATGTGAAATAATCGTTTCACCACGAATTGCTCCCCAAAGAGTTCTTTGATCAAATATAGTTAGGAAATTTGGCATCCTAGTACTCCCTCTTGGAGACTTGCAAAGCACATAACGTACCCCAGACTCAGGGACATTGTGAAATAAACAATTTTGTTTAACTATCACTTCCCAAAGTAACTGAACCAAAAAAAAAAATCTTTTTCTACAGAGCACCTGTTAAAACTGCACTTTGTGTTCCCTAAAGTGATTTAGGAAATGTTCTGATGAAAAGCCATCTCCGCCATTTTCTAAGTAACATAAAACTGTGCAGTCGTTACACCCCAACAAAACAAAGAGGATCCTGTTGCACATGCTGTTTTATTACATCCTATGTGAAGTTGTCATGCTGGAAGCATACATCAAAAATGCCTCTCTCATGATGGCTTTGAAACTGCAATTATACAAATAAAAAAATATTAATCTTAGTGTAATGGATTAGAGAGGACTTCCACTTCCAACTCTGATGGAGTATCCTTTATCAAACCAACCCCCACTCCCCCCACAACCACTAGGAACAACTATAAATGCTTAATAAACTATTACAAAACAGCTGCTTAAAGATTGCATCAATCAATCAAGGCCGCCCAAAGTTGATAGGCCAAGACCCCAAAGAGAAGAGAAGGGCATTTCCATGAGCCTCACCTCTTTCCTTCTGATTTGTAAATAAAGTAGGGGCAGGGGGCCGAGCAGAAAGTAACCTTTCAGAACTCTCGGTAGTTTCATGGGGCGACAGAAATAAAAGTTGGAGTTTTAGGTACCAACAAATCAGCGCCTAAAGTCTTAAGAGTTGGAAGGAAAGGAAACTACAGATAAATGGGCCCAATGTTCTGTCTGTTGGATTTTCTAATGAGATTTTTCTAATGCTGATTCTCAAATTACACTATACACAAAGCAACAGCTATGAGGTGAAAGTTAAGCAGAGTTCTTAGGAATTTTTTAAAAGATAACTCTCAAAATAGCATCAAAGTCATTCAGTACCTATAAATCTAATAAAGAACGTACAAACAATTTTAAAGACCTAAACAAATTGGAGAATTCCTATCCACTTACCAGAAATACCTGCTTTATACTTATATAGCGGTCGGTGGAAAATAAACTTCTATTTGCTATGCCAATGAAATTTAGGGATTTATTTGTTACAACAGCTAGTGTTATTCTAACTTAAAAGCTGGGCTGAACATGCATGCCAGTATATCATAATTATTTCAAAGATCAATGAACTAACTATGAGATTTTTATTAGGTTTCATTTCAGAGTGGGGTTTTTTGTTGTTTTTTATGAGATTTTTAAATGTTTTTATTGATTTTTAGAGAAAGAAGAAGGGAGAGGGATAGAGAGATAGAAACATCAATGATGAGAGAAAATCATCACTAAAAACCTCCTGCACACCCCCTGGACATATGCCCTGACCAGGAATCGAACCAGCGACCTCTTGGTTCATGGGTCAATGCTCAACCACTGAGCTACACTGTCTGTGCAGCATTCCCTCTCATTTGTGCTAATTTGAGTTGGCTTCTGTTGTTTGTAGCCGATAGCCTCTGATTGAGACAGAGAGGGTTATGACAGTAGTTGGCCGGGAGTCTGAAGAAGAGATGAGTCCTGCCTTCCCTTAATTATCCTCCTGTCAGAGTTTTAACTGAAAATTCTCCTCTCTTCAGCTTGCACCCTGCGCACTTCAGAATTCCAGAGGTGGCTTTCGTATTTGTCAGGCCTAAGAGATTGGTGGAGCCAAATTGGTTCCAAGAGAATTCTCAGGTCCAAGGCAGGAAACGTGGGAAGAAAGCCTCATTCATCATATTCTGTCCTTAATCTCCAAACAGTCCAAGTAGAGGTAGAGATCAGAGATGAGTTTGCCACCCCTGCCCAGTGGTGCTTCTTAGAATAGCTGCTCTGCCCTCCGTTTCTGGTGAATGGGCAAGCTGACAGTGTGGCTCTTTCCCCTTCCCAAGCTAGGTGGGTATGTGACCCAAATCCAGCTGATGGATGGGTTTGTCAGGCACAAATTAGATTCCTGGGGTGGAAGATCATGCAGATCCATTTTAAGCCACATTCATGCTGCAAAGTAAACAGGAGAACTAGTCTATAAGAAGCCAGAGATAATCCTCATTATCTGGAGAAAACCAGGAGCCAGAGAGCATTTGGAGAGAGAGAACATAGAGACTACCTGACAGTTTTCCACTCCCTCGGGTGCCTCGTTACTCTTCCTACAAAGGAGTCCCTTGAGATGCCTATCGGCTTCCAATAAATTCCCTCTCGTTTGTGCTAATTTGAGTTGGCTTCTGTTGTTTGTAGCCGATAGCCTCTGATTGAGACAGAGAGGGTTATGACAGTAGTTGGCCGGGAGTCTGAAGAAGAGATGAGTCCTGCCTTCCCTCAATTATCCTCCTGTCAGAGTATAGTTCTCAAAATATTAAAAACCTAATTTTCATATAGAGAGGTAAGTAAGCACATGTCACAGTGTTATTCAGTTCATGAAGGAAGGAATTAGGAGGGTGGCAGCGCTGGATCAAAAGAGAAAATGAGAACATAGGACTCTGCAGTCAGTGCAGGAAGAAAGGGTGCTGAGGTGAGGCTGCAGATTCAAATACAAACTGGTCAGTCTCCGAGAGAGCAGTAAAACCATGCTCTGTGGGGCTGTCTTCTCCGCTGGACAGGAAACGAAATCATTGCCATCCTACTGGTATTGTCAAAGGTCTGCGCCCAACTTCATGGCACGAACTATGTTGCCTTTCCCTAGAGAGGGAGAGGACCATTATGCTTCTCAGACTTTATGAAAATACAGAGGGCTGGGCCCTGCCCCCAGAAATTGAGGTCTTGGGCTGAGTCTGAAAATTTGCATTTTAACAAGTTCTCAGGTGACACTGATGGTCAGCAGCCCACAGTTTAAGTAACACGGCCTTCGACGACATTGAAAGGTCATGCAGCAATTTTTTTGCTTATTTCCAAGTTTGGAATAATTTTTCTTAATCCTTCACTCAAAGTCCCCAAGGGAGAGCTGAGCCTCCACGTGAGGAAAAGCAAAACAAGGCAAAGAGTGCTTTACTCTTGCCTGAAGATGGAGTTCACACCTGAAGGAAGGACTTAGATGGACAAAGAGAGGTTATTGGAGAGTCTTTTCTTCATGCACTAGAGAGATCTCAGTAGCATTGAACTAAAGCAGACCCTTGGCCATCTTTCCCCACACTCCTATTCGAGTCTCTGGTCTTATCATTGACATGCAAGAAAACACTTATTCAAGCCAACACCATCTGTGACAGAGGAAAAGAAGCTATGGAGAGTGGGAGAAAGTAATTTCCTTCCAAAATCAGGAATCACTCGGGTTGAGGCTGGCTTCCCAAGACCTACAGCTCGGCGCCACAGTAGAGAGGAGAGATTCCACAGAGGAGAAGAGGCAATCCGGCATTCACCCACGGGCGCTGTCCTGACCCTTCTGACTCTTCTGGTTTCAGGGGATACGGTTGTCAGATAAATTACAGGACACTTGACTAAATTTGAATTTCAGATAAACAATGAATAATTTTTAGTGTAAGTATGCCTCAAATATTACATGGGACAACACTAAAAACAAAAGTATTCATTGTTTACGTGATAGTCAAAATTAATCGGGCATCTTGTGTTTTTATTTGATATTATAATAATACCAGCTTTTTTTGGCTATTGGGAGGATTAAGTAAGATGATGAGATGTAAAGTATTTAAAACATAGGAAGCATTGATACCTGTTACTTATTAACATCTCTCCAGTTGCACAGAAGCTAAATCTTGGACGAAGTAATTTGCTAATACTGGACAGCAGGTGTTATGGGCTAAATTGTGCCCCACCCCAAATTTATATGTTGAATCCCTAACTCCCAGTACCTCATAACATGACTGTATTTGGAGACAGGGCTTTGGAAGAGGTGATTGAGTGAAAATGAAGCCAGTAGAGTGGGGCCTAATGCAATCGGATGGTGTCCTTATGAGAAGAGGAGATTTGGACACAAAAAGAGGCACTAAGAATTTATGCACACAGAAGACAGGCCATGTGAGGACACAGGGCAAAAGGGGCCACCTGCAAGCCAAGGAGAGAGGCCTCAGGAGACGTCAAATCAGCCGACGCCTTGATCTTGGACTTGCAGCCTCCAGAACTGTGAAAAAATAGATTTTTGATGTTAAGCCACCCAGCGTGTGGTATTCTGTTATGGCAGCTCTAGCAAACTAATAGAGCAGGTAAAGAGCCAAGTTGTGGTTCAGACTCAAGTGGTCAGGCACCAAAGGTTAAGCAGTAATTAGCCATTAGACAGGACAACCTAAAGTGGGAAGTCAGCATGGATTTATCTCAACATCTAAAATGAACTGTCCATTGTGGTAACAAATCTCTTTCCACCATGCCCACTCTCTACTCATCACCATCTCCTCTAAGGCTCGCACTCACTGTCTGGGTTGATTCTTCAGTCCAGATCATCCCCTGCTTCACCTTCACCTCCCTGGACATTCCCGGCAGCTAAAAACTCCTACTGATAATGACTGGAGTTACTGTCTGACGTTTCGCGGTTCACGGAGTAGTACTCAATTAGCAGTCACTGTGCTGCTGCTACAGCTTGATGCAGGGGAATGAGCCTGTGAGCGACTGAATGAATGGTGTCCACCTGGCTCTCGCTCCCAGACTTCTCCAGTACCTGGCTGTCCTTTTACCTACACTGCCATGCAGTTCCTACCAACCCCACCAGGGTGAAAGGTCTGTGTTTGGGCCTTTTTCTTCTTCCTTTTTTATTTTTTGTTTTGTTGTTTTATTTTTTTGTTAATCCTCACCTGAGAATATTTTTTTCCCATTGATTTTTAGAGAGAGTGGAAGAAACATCCATGTGAGAAAAACACATCTATTGGCTGCCTCCCACATGCACCCTGACCAGGAGTGGGGATCGAACCAGAGAGAGAGAGAGAGAGAGAGAAGGGAGGGAGAATTGGAGGTAGTGCCCACGTATTCTCATTGGGTTGCTCAGTTTTTTATAAGATCAGATGCTGTTACAGGCAACAACATAGACAGGTTTTCCCTAGCCTTACCAATATAAATATGCCTAAAGGCTATCCATGGAACATTTCCCATTAAAGTTGTAAATAAAGTCTCAATAGAATCTTGAATGTCATTAGCTCTTGAATTACAAACCAAAGGGTTAGACATGGTTAGAAATAAGCTCTCATCATATGTTTGTCGTTATGGTCATCAGCCCCGTCTTCATCATCATTGTTACTAGGAAAATGTGATAAAAGATGAAAATCTGACTAACGTGGAAATAATGGGTCACTTGGGGAGTTGAAATTACTGGTGCTTTTCATTTTTTAACTCTAGCTAATGGACATGCATTTATTTTTATAATAAGAAAAGAATAAAGAAGTTACTTTTAATGTTAAT